GAAAATTCCATTCTGCATCACAAGTACTGTTTTTGGAATAAAGTAAATCATTATTACTACATATACGCATAGTACCTCAAACTTTGGTTGAGTATAGTCATCTTAATAGATTGAAAAAATAATTCATAGTGATGAGAGATATACGGTTGATCTTAAACACCGATACTATACATTCTATGCATGCAGAACACCTGTGCTGTTTGACATGAATAGTATTGTTTGTTTGAGTGGTATGAAATTTTAATGGTAGAACACCATAGTATCTGGTAGAATAATTTTTTTTATTTGGCAAAATGATTCACATTGTCACTTCAACTTTCAAATGCTGTTCGTGGTATTATGCTTATTTTGTCTTCATTTCATGCATCTGTATTGTTTCACAGTGATCTTTACCACTCCTATTCGCAATTGAATCCGTCCCTTCGTTATTCAAGATTCTTGCAGAAGGAGTAAACTACTTAATTACATTCTGTATGTTCTTCAGCATCGTCATCTAGGTTACCTATCTACCATGAAAAATGACTTTTAGATTCCTACAGCATGCTGAAGATTAGAATTTCACAAAAGTTACAGTATATGCTATTGCTATTATTAACTAAAGATTTCCAGGTGCTTTTGGTAAAAAAGTTAACCTAAACGCTTCCCCTCTAGCATCATCTAACTAACCGTGACGATAGAAAAAAGTATTCAGTGGATTTCACAAATTCATTCTAAACAACTTATTGAGAAATGCACTGACATATAATCTGCTCAATGCCCATATTTATTGCTTAAGAAGCCCATTAACTTTTGTAGAGTTACACACGTTTGACCTTTCATGAAGTGAGTATTCAGTGTCAACAAACAATCTAGAGATCAAGTGGGACACATGATCACTTGTGATTGAAGATGTTAGTTATCTAGCTAGGTGGATGTTTCCAGTTCATGTCTGTTTTGTTGAAAACAGGCTTATTTCTTCTCTTAGTGCTTTGGGTTGTACCTATGAGTGAGTAATCATAGCAAGTGTTGAGTTTGTGTAAGAGAAAATTGGATTTTGATTGGATGAGATTAGTTTGTCGATTGTTGAGGAATTGTTTGGGACTGGAGTAAATTTTATACGTATTTGTGTGTCTTAGGTCATTGATTATTTATCCGTGGTTTTGATGAAATAGTGGTTTGTGGTTTTATTGTGATTGTTGTTGAACTGTGATCTGTTAGTTATCTGTTCTATTTGCTTTCGTTTTCAGTGCATATATCAGATCCTGTGAATAAATCATGTGCATATGATGTTTCTAGAATAAGGAATGGTCCTTATTTTTAGACTTTCTCTTTGCTTCAATAATTTCACATGTTCATCGTTATCAATTATTTCTGCAGTCTGGTTTTAAAATATCGGGGAATCTAGTAGCTTTCACGCTTTTGTCGTTCATGTATTTTCGCTTCTTTGTACGGATGTGTATGATGTCGGCTGTTGTGAAATCTTGACACTTCTGTTTTATTATCAGAAGACTTATTATTCAGATATTTCTATTCGTTTCTGAGTTGATAATCATGTACTTTGTTGTTTCACGTGAAACTTATTATTGTACAAATGATTCAGGGATTTGAAAGGTTCTGTGGGGAGGCAATTTTTCGAAAATTTCATACATTTATTCTCTTTAATGAATTTGAATAAAGCAAGAACAACAGTTTTTGCAGAATAAAATGGTGCCATCATTTATTCGTTGGCTTCTCATCATCTGCATACAGGCCAAAGCAGCTGAAGAGAAGCCAACGAAATAAATGATGGTACCATTTTATTCTGCAAAAACTGTTTTTCTTGATTTATTCAAATTTTACAAATGGTTTTGTGGTCCTGAAGTAATTATTCTATGAGTTATCAATTCAGCGGTATGTATTGCTGACAAATATCATTTTACCTGTAATTAATTACTTTTATTTTCAAAGTTATCTGTCGTTGTCTGTACAAATGCAAACGTCTTTTTCGTAATTATATGTCCCTATGCGTGTAAATATTTACCACTGACTGAGAATTTAAATTTACTAGCTTTAACAGAAGTTCTGAGAATCAAGAAGTTACTAGGTGTTCTATTGTTATTTCATACTTTTCACTAATAAGCTGTCAGACCGCCACTCAGATTCTTATCCAACTCAGTCACTTTGATACGTAATTGAATTTGGATTGATTTCGTTAGGCTGCAGATGAATACTGCTAAAAAATTTGAGTCGGTACAAAACAGCTTTGCAACAAATAAATTTGGTTAGTAAACTTGTGGTGAGAGCTGGCTGCTAGCCAAAGTTGGTAGACAGTAATTGACGTCAGTGTTTATGTCCCCAATATTGGTAGTGAGAAAATGAGAACAAAGGCTTTGAGTAGGCGGATACAGTTAGCATATGGATGATCTGACACAGCCACAAGGAGATGCAAGGTTAACTTTAAGGGAGAAACAACCAATCAAAAGACTGTATTTTATACTAACAATAATCTAAAATAATGTACATTAAAATCTATAAATATGTGTTGATTTTCCTTAATAAATGATCTGTTGCCTGTCCCTTGTCTTCTGTTGTTACAAACTGACTGATTTAACTCAGTGCTCATCTATTAATGGACAGAATATATAGAACTCACCAAGGTTAACTAGTCACATTGAGGTCAGAATCTCAGTTTACAGTGAAACAATTGGGTAACTGATGACGTTGATATGAAATCAAGAAACCCAGAAATACCTCAGATGGGTATCGCAAAGTAGATAACAGTATCCTCTAGAATATCAAATCAAACATAAGGAGTGTGATTTCAAAACCGTTAACAATCCTCTGAAGCGATAAAGCAGTTACCTTCAACTGTTAATTGGTCAAATTTGAAGCGTCAACATAATCTAGTGTTTTTTAAACATTCAGAGACTAGATCATTTCAGAAAAAACTTTGTTTATTCATTTCGACTTTATTCAATGCGATATCAGTCTGAGTCTTCCACTCAGCCGTAAGATGTTGTAAATTTCATAATATATGAGACTAACCGTATCTTCTTTCTCCACCAGATAATTCCTAATAGGTGTCCAGCTGCGACTACTTCCTTAGAATATTAGTGAGTTCACTTAATGTGAAGAAAATAGGTATTTCAGTGTATCACAATGTGATAGAGAAATGCGTTGGCATACTTCCATTCTGACATAACTATCACAGGAAATTCACACAACTTCAGTTCACCGGGCACACTTTACAAACCATAAATGTTATGTAGGCAAGTAATATAATGGCATTAATACACCCAAGGTGATCGCTTTGACTTTTTAAGTCTTCACCAATTTTTTAAAGTACCACACAGTCATTTCGGTTTCTCCTGATATTTGCTAATATTTATCAACTCAACATCAAAGTTTTTCAACCTACCGTTTATACATTATTAGATTTCACAAATTACGACTGAGTACAGATCATTATGAGATAAGATTTGCTTAGTTCAGTGTACGTTAATACGGTATTACTAAGTTGACGAAGTAATCATACAGTAACCATACTTTCCTTTTAAACGTCCTAATTCCGCATTGAATTATTCCAGATGAAATTTCAGTCATATACTCAACTGCCACAAAAGTAATAATCATTGTTATTAATAATGTAACTACCAGAAAGATAGGTTTTAGTTCAATATTCCTTATTGTTTAACCGTTCCATTATTTTGTTCGGGGAAGCAAGGCAAGCTTTCATTACTCTCAAGTTTGTGTGGAGATCAACAACACTCACCATGGAGAATAAGATTAGGATTTTAAACTCCAGTATGAAGTCAGTGCTACTATACGGAGCAGAGACTTGGCGCAGCGTCACGAAGGCCACTTTGAACAAACTACACACCTTAATCAATAACTGTCTTTGCCCAGTACTAAACATCAGATGGCTGGCCAGAAAATATCAGCAATAGGGGTCTCTGGGAACGAACCAACCCAGCAGGAACCAATTGTGCAAGAAATAAGCAGGAAGAATTGGAGGTGTATTGGCTATACTCTGAGAAAACCATCAAGTGACATCACATACCAGGCTATTACTCAAGTGGACCCCGAACGGGAAGCGACGAGTTGGTCGTCAGTGCGAGGGTGACATGGAGGAGGTCATATGAAGAGGAGATGAAAGCATGTGTGCAGACGTGCAGCCAGGTGAAAACGTTGTCAGAGAACTGAACGCAATGGAGACGTGTGGCTGAAGCCCTATGTTCCATTAGAAATTAAAGGAAACAATAATAATACAATATTCATTATTCTTTTTTTCATTCCATGAGTTCTGAGGTGGGCAAAGGTATTCAATCTTCAAGCCCTGAAGTTTCAGTTGTGATGGTGTTGATTTTATGAAGTGAGACCACTGGCCTAATGCCCAACCTAACCTCTTTTCCAGACTTATTGCTTGCTAGGAGAGCTTTACAAGTGCGTTGGCCGACAGCTGAACCTGAAACTCCCAAGAAGTTGGTGGGTATTCTACCACCGACGCACGAAATAGATGGAATGCCTTAAACTTTCACATGTCATCCTTGCACACGGGCCATACTAATCTTCTCTGCATTCTTCCAATTTTAGCATATGAACCACAGATGCTGCTGGTTCTCGAGTCATAATCGAGATGTTGTATGTGCTATATTTTGAATACAGATCCAAGTGTAAAAGCTATCTTGCATTCTTCACACATTCACTTCTGTCAACTGCTTTATACAAATAAAGTAAAAAGAAGTTCACAGAACAGAAACAAATTTATTTTATTACAATAGGAATCTTTTAAAACATTAATTGTCGTTTCATTATCTCAGATATTATTTTGAACCTTTAGATTTCAACGACTTATTTGTCTTTATCTAAAAGGGATTTCTAGTAAAATATATGTTAATTATGAGCAGAAAATCGTCGCTAACTGATAATTTTTCCTCTATAGAAACTGGATGAAAATATTCTGACAGTAATAAACAATCATCGTATATTATTTAAAACTTAACAGATTTCATAAATAAAGTTCACCATAATAAGCAGTAGAGAGTTGAAAGTACAAACAAAATTGCGCACTCTGTTTAACAGATTAATAGCACTACATTTAAGTTGAGAGTTACTGAAATTATTTGTTATTTGTCTGAATTGACTTAGGAGAATCACATTCACTTGTCATCTAAAATTGATACTGGCTTAATTACACGACCAGCGAACAGATTTGTTTTCAGTACTTTGTCGTAAATGAAGCAAAGAAATGATTCATTAGCGATAAAAGCAATTTTTGGAGGTAATGGTTTACTGCGTGATTTAAAGCCCACCACTGTTGCAGCTGCAGCCTCTACTCCCTCTTCTTTCACTTTTAGTGATGTACTTTGTTGAAAGATATCTGCATGAATTTTGCGGTTAGTCATTCCTACAAAAGAAATAGAAAGTGAATCAGATATATTTTCCTGACTGACTGACTGACTGGTTTTCAACTGCACCGATGTACATCAGTTCGAGTTGCCACACTTCACTCAGCACAAAAAGCCAGAGAAGAAAGTAAAAAGAAATGCAAAATAGAGACATTAAACAGAGATATGAGGCAAAAAGAACAGTAATGTCGAAGAACCATATTAGTTTTATTGAATATTATAAGTCACAAGGAGTGGATGCATCTGTGCCACTGAGAATGATTTTGAGCCATATCAACAATTGTCTCCAGCCGCCATTGGTGTTTACTGTCCCAAGGACCCCAACCAGGAAGCCTACAACTTCCTACGTGACTTAAACTAACTGTTGTGGATTTCATTGACTGATGAGGCCATGTTTTCGTTTGACCACCACTGGCTCTTTTCCAACCTGATCCATCCTATATCAGTCAGCTAACACTGCCCATCGAGGAAGGCGATAACTAAGCATACGTAACACATGTCCTAACCATCTCAGTTGATCTAGCTTCCCAGCCTCGTCTATTGATTTCCCCTCCTTACGTAGCACTCGACGCCTAATATCAATATTGCTCACATTGTTATGCCACTTAACACGGGAGACAGAACACAGGCACCTATAATCAAAGACAGCCAGCCTTTTCATGTCTTCTACTCCCACTAGCAAGGTCTCACAGACATAAAAGAAGGAGGACGGAGCGCGGTGCTGCCCGTTGGTCGACAGCCGGCTGGATATCACACCTACTAAGCCACAGGTGGAATAAGTTGGCATATGCGAAACAATCCTTCTCTATACGTGCTGAAATTTCGTCAGTGATCAACCCGTTGGGGCTTATGCACCTAACTAAATAAGTGAAGTGGTCAGCACGCTCTATAACTTCACTCCCTATTTCTATGCTAGGAGTCAGTGCAGTCCAGTACTGTAACATCACCTTACATTTGGCGGGAGCGAATCGCATGCCAAAAATTCGCAGATTGCAGCTCAAGGTGTTAAGAAGAATCTGCTCTATTTTGTCAGCGTTTTCACCTAGAAGCACTATATCATCTGCACATTCTAAGTCAATGAGATTATTCTCTGTTAACAAGTCGATCCCTGAGTCACTGAAGTCATTTAAACTTAAGTCCATCAGTACATCTTTGATGAAATTAAATAGAAATGGGGATGATGGGCATTCCTGACGGACACCACTAGTTGTCACCACTTCAGTTGACAACTCACCGTAAGCTCTCACCTGGCTGCATGAGTTCGAGTAGAGTGCCTTGATCAATGCAATGTATTTCCTTAGCACTCCCTTCACAGACAAACATCGCCATCGTCAAGAAATATGACGATTGTTAGACGCCGGTAAGTATGTCTGTGTTCCAGAATCTGTCAAAGGGTGAAGATATGATGAATACATCCTCTTCCAGGTCTAAAGCCTGCCTGCCTGCCTGGTTCTCTCACGTTTGTGCCTCCCGAACATCACTTAGTCTACGCATGACTATTGAGCCTAGAACTTTAGATAATATATTAGTCAAGCTAGTCCCCCTGTGATTATCACAGGAAGACTTGTCTCCCTTCTTGTATATGGGGATAATCAATGACTTACACCAAACCGACGGGACTTCCTCTGATTCCCAGACGCTGCCTAGTACCTCAGTTAACGCAGACAGTAAACTGTCTCCACCGTACTTAAATACCTCTGGAGTCATTTCATCAGGTCCTGCTGCTTTGCCTCGTTTCAGACTAGTGACAGCTTTAGTAACCTCAGTTAGGGACGGAAGACCTGTGTCTATATCCCATTCAGGGAGGTGTTGGATGTTCGGTAATTTGAGCGTGGCTGTAGGCCGATGAAACTGTTCCTCAAAGTGTTCTTTCCAACGCCCTAGTCGTCTATCCTGGGAGCTAATTATGGTGCCATTTTTCTCAGATATTGTTTCACTTATCATTTGCCTTTTCGCATCTGTTTCCCTGATAAGCCTAAATATTTGTCTGGTGTTATCAATCGCCGATGCCTTTTTTATCTCCTTTGCTTTTTTCGCCCACCTCTTTTCACGGTCGTTGTGAAGACTTCTTGTTAGTTTGTGTTTGAGTAGCTTTCACTCCTCATCATAATCGGAGCTCGCCGGAATCAGTCTTCTAGCGTCAATCAGTTCTGATGAGGTGGTAGAAATCCTAAATGTTGGGAAGCCTGATTTTGAATCTTTAATTTATGTTATTCCATCATGATCAACTGTACATTTATGAGTAAACTTATATATATATATATATTCTTCAAAATATTATGATGACATTAACACTGTGGATAACACTTACCTGTTAAATCTGCTCGATTTGCAGCGAATAGGTCAGTTACTCCTATTATATCCAATGTGCTAACTAGATTGATCGTTGAATCTAATTTAAATCGTGGCAGTGATAAGGCAACACGAGTAGGACGCAGTTCATTCATCAATTTTGACAATTTGACTTCACCACTTAGAATTTTATCAGTGTCTTCAATCTTTCCAGGTTTAGCTGGTAGAACTACAATAAACGTGAATCGTGGATTCTAAAATGTTTAAAATATCTGTATCAGTCAAAAGCCCAATTAACGTGGTTGTGTTTGGTCATAAAAATGAATATTATGTACAAAAGAATCAATAAAGTGTACACTGGTTCCTCAGCTCAATATATGGATACTTCGATAAATAATATTTTGAGCTGAATATCATTCCGAGGACAACATAAAAAGAGTTGTGTTGCATAAGTAAGAATTGAAAAATCGTGGAATTCGTGAATACCACTTTACTAGAGAAAACAAAATATGAGAAATTACTGCAATAGAACAATGTTTCAAAAGGTTTTTAAAGGTCAAAGGATGCCCAATAGAGAGGGAGATGTGATGTTTAAGAAAGAGTAGAGTGTACTTTTTTGAAGTCTGAATTAAAATGGTTATGTCTTCACCAGATTAATGTCTTTAAGGTGAACGAAATAAAAACCCATAAATAATGTACGATCAATGAAATAATTAAGTGTAATGAAACTGCAAGTATAGACGGTGGCACTAAAGTCATGGTAAAATGAGAGACTGAGCCTGTTTTTACTGCTTTTAGAGGTTAAGCTTCAGTTTACTAATTGAAAGATACTCCACTATAAGTAAGTTGAGAAGCTATAAACCTTCATTCTTCATCTTGAATTTCTAGATAATTCAGAAAGTGGATTGAATTATAGTCAGAGTTAATCACATGTCTAACGATCATAATAGTCACTGATTTTTGCCATGTGAGATGGGAGGCTGAAAATGAAAAGGTATATATATTTTGAGAGGCCTATTATATAGCTAACTCTACAGTACTTAGTATGCTTGCAAATCCACTCTGAGGTAACTCAAAGCAGTAGATTGTTTCTAACAAAGTAAGCATTCATTTGTTGTCCATTGAAGTCAGTTCACATAGGAAAGAGTATTTTTCTCAGATATTTGAATACCCTATTCTTAGCTTCCCATTTTTAGACCTACACATATAAATAACGTCTTGATATGAATTGTCGTCATTGTCTCAGTGAGAATATTTCGGTACCCCACATTTATGAGAGAATACCGATGTTTGATAAGGTGTTCCTATTCAACTGTATTGGTTGAACCAATGACAAATACTTAGCCAACTTATTACTGAATCAATGAAACGTAATTATGTTTCGATACTTATTACTTTATACTTCAGTTTAATAATAATGCTAATTATGAATGGTCACAGTGATTTATTTCTGCTTAGTTTTTGGTTTGGCTTATGTTCATCTTCTTTAGATGGATTATTTCGTTGGGTTAGCAAATCCATGTGCTTCATGTAAAACAGCTGTGGACTGCAGTGAAATATTCACCTAGTTAACAGTTGACTCACGTTGTTTAGCTGACAGAACGCTGAAACAGTGACTTGAAGGCTTCCAGTTCAAATCTCATCGCCAATCAGATTTACATTTCACCTTCAATCATGACCCATTACATCAATAAATGTTTGACAAGCCAAAACTATCTTTAACATTATCACCGTTGTCACGATCAGCCCTGTAAATTAGTTATTGTTAACACATCTACTGAAACTTATTTAGTATATCAATGTACCAACTGTTAATTTTATTATATTCATGGTAGACAGTCAACATTAACTCGTATTCATTATATGACTTGTAAGTAAAGACTTACTGTTCCCCTACTCAACTATACTAATCAACATTTTGTTCACGCTCCGAATTTTTGGCTCCAATACACCCGCAAAAAGGTGCTAATGCTTAATCTTGAGATAAGGCAGTGACTTGGACCTGTTCAGAAGTTTTCTTTGGTTTTAGATTCTTGTCAATGAATCAAATTTAAACGTGATACCGAAGCAGAAATCCTCCGTAAATGGCTTTCAAAATCTCTCAGCAAAACATGCCTAGCCGCCAGCCTATGAGTGACATTTTAAACCAGCATGTGAAAACAAGCTGTCGTATTGGGCCACTTCAATATGCATACACCAGTTCACTTGTTTGTGTGGAGCTGAGTACACTGGCCGTACCATGCGTCCGCTTTTAAACGCGCTCATTAACACTATCCAGCATAGTTAGCAAAGGGAGAACGCAAGGGTGTATATAGTTTGGTAGCAGAACATCTGGTAAATTAAGGACATTCAGCTCCATTTGAAAAGTCCATCACATTCAATATACAAGATCCAATCAAGTCTCTCGAAGTGAGTGAAATCAAAGCATCCAGGAATAGCTAAGCTACTCCAGTTTCCAAATATATTAGTTAAAATAAATAAAAAACTACTCAGTTTAGTGTTTTCTTTTCAGGAATAATCTGTATAGAATTCTTTAGTTTTCAGCAGTTTCTTGAATGAAATCAACCTGTTATGCAAATTATTCTTTAACTCGTTTAACGCTGCCTATCACACTTGAAATTCCAAATCAGCTTACTTAGTTATAATAGTTTACTATTCAGTGAAACCTGGGCATGCTTATTTATAACCAAAATGTATCTCTGGCTATGTGTTTAATGATAAACAAAGTATGAAGGTGTCTACAAGTAGGTTTTAGAAAAGCTTTTAAAAGCTCCACACGATCAGCTTTGACTAAGTCACTTTGTTATGAACTGATGCAGAATATTTATTGCCTAAATAATGAATTTTAAGTCAGAATTGCCTTTTCAACAGTCATACTGTGCACTTGACAATAGATATTATTTAAATATTGAGCTATTTCACATGGAAAACAAAAAATAACCAGCCTTGCACTTACCGAGAACTCTTTACTAACTATATGAACTTCATGTTGTGTAAATGTTCCAAAACCCATAGTTTCTGTGATATGCATCATTGGTACTTTGATTACAGATTGTCTAGCCGGTTTAAAGTATTTCTCAGTTGTAGAAAGTTTAGAAAAAGGCATTTTCCATTTTCCTATGCATAAAAAGATTATGAATGTAAAAAAAAGAGGTAAAAATGTAATCATATTTATATTACAATGTGTTTACAATAAACAACCACTAATTTTCCTACTGATAAGACATTTACACTTCATTTCGATAATTCACCAAACGATATTATATAATATGATATCATATGAAATGAAAGCATGTACGACAAGTGATGTGAAGGTGTTTTGTAAATTTAGCAAACACTGTAAATGTTTATTTCTTTCAATGAAATTTAACTGTTATTAGATGGAAGCATTGGACCTATGTTTCCTGCTTGTTGGCGCTCACCAGTCAAGAAAGCGTATCTACATTCTTGACGGAACTCATGTCCCTTCTGAAATTCTAACCTGTGTCAACCAGTGCTGCAGTCATAGACGCTACAACTGAGCTATTCTGAGTAGCGGTTGACCTCCTACAGGACTGCATTAGATACTTTTGAGTGGACACTAACTAGTGTCTTGTGTCCAGTCCTTTGTTTACTTTGGGCTGCCTCCTGCCGATGGCCCCCAACCGTCTTTTAACAAAAATCCTGAGTGTACCATGATGGCGAGCCACCTAGGAAGGTGGCCACATTGAAGATATGACTGATGGAATTCAATCTGCAGTAAACAAAGGACTAGACAGATGAGACTATTTAGTGTCCAATCAAAAGTTAATTTAAATGTGTGAAACAGTTCATCAAAGAGACTCTTTTCATTCACTCAACTGTACAATCACACATATATTTAATTATTTCTGTATGTGTGTGTGTGCGTACATAGCACACGAATAGAAAATTGATTTGGAGTATTGCGAACATCAACATAATATTTCAAAACAGTGATAAATAATCAAAATTGTAACTAGCGGGCTGTGAAGATCAATGAATACCAAAAACGTCCAGAAAAATTGGATATAACTGAAACAGCATGAAGACAAGTACATAAGTTAGGGTTTTCCATCTGAATCGCTAAGGCCCCAGCAATGCAAAGTATATAGAAGCACATTTTTTTTGAGAGGCTTCCTTCAACTTTATAGATAACTCTGAATGCATTTTTCTTGCATACCGATTGACCAGTGTTGAATATATGTTCAGTTGTAGCACGCCTTATTGATCCACCACTACCTTTCGGTACAAAGAAAAAACGCCTCCATCCTCTCCTTCGACACTGGGTATATAATTACAAGTCCAACTGTTATCAATACTATTTTATTCATTTTTCATGTGACATTCGTTATTATTAACTTCCTAACTAACCTTAAGTTTACTCTCTTCACCTACTACAGAATTTATTTTGATACCTGTCTCTATGCTCTTCCATTAATATCCAATTTTTCTGGACGTTTTTCGGTATCAAGTAATCTTCATCCCCGCCAGTTACAATTTTAATTATTCATTACTGTTTTGAAATATTATGTTGATGTACAAAATACTCCAAACCAGTTTTCTATTCTTGTGTTATGTAGGCACACATACATTCAGAAGTAATTATATATAAGTGCGATTGTACAGCTGAGTGAATGGATTCACCGAAAAGAAACTCTTCGCTGAACAGTTTGTTCTCATTTTCGTGAATTATTTTGTTATTACTTTTCGTGAATTAACTGTATCAATGTTTTATTATTATTCCCTTGAGTTCCGAGTGGAAAATAAGGCTTCAACAACACATCTCCACTTTCTTCTATTTTCTGCTGTCCCCTTCAAATGAGTCCACGATTGCCCATAATCTCTCATCTCCTCCTCACACGATCTCCTCCATGTCACCCTTCCATCTACGACCCACTCGTCGCTTCCCATTGTTATTCCACTCGAGTAATGGCCTGGCGCGATGTCATTCGACGACCACCTCAGTATACGCCCAAATCATCTCCATTTTCTGCTACATATTTGTTGAGCGATCAAGTCTTGGTTGGTTTGTTCCCCGCCAGAGTTTCTTGTTGTTAATTCCTTCTGGACTGCTGGCCATTTGATCTTCAGTATGAGGCCGACAAGGCAGCTGTTGATAAAAGTCTGTAGTGACCTGTTGGAAATCCTTTTCGTGACGCGCAGTGCAAGTTTCTGACCGGTATAGAAGGACCAACTTGACATTGGTGTTGAAAATCTAAATCTTGTTCCTTATGTTGAGTGCAGAAGATTTCCAAATTGGTTTCAGGTTGATGAAGGTGTATCTTACCTTTCCGATTCTGACCAGCTTGACATCTTCATCCGTTCTGACTGTCTGTTGTTGAAACCGTGCTTCCTGACCAGATAATTGACGCAAGTCCTCCTTTTGAATCTCTCCCAATGTTAGTGATTAGTGCTGGTTGTTGTCAATACTGTTGGTGGTGGTTGGTTATCTTCATCACCTCTGTCTTCTCTATGTTCACCTGGAGTCTTGTCTTCGCTGCCAGCCTCTTCAGCCAGTTTGTTAGTTTTCGCCTGTAAGTCTTCGAATTTGTGTGACATTAGACATAAATCATCCACGCGCGAAATCCAGATCTTCTAGAGTCTTCTCATCGGTGGTCCAGCGTACTCCTGTCTCCTCGCTCCCAAACACAGTCTGACGCATAATCAAGTCCACCACAATTAAGAATATCATCGGTGATATATATACATATATATAAATGAAGGAAAAAGTTGTGTGAGTAACTTGATATGATTATAAGCAATAATTTGTGCTCGAAACGTCATCAGTTAATATTACTGTGTAACACTGTGTGATTTATCAAAATAAAATCTTATCCATAATGGAGTTACACTCTACCACGGTACCCAAGTTTTATACTTATATCAATCAGTGTTTTACCCAGTGGTTTTTTTGACGATTTCTGTTTAGTATTTGTCATAGCAACGACTCAGTGTATGATTGCATTATATCGTTAATAGTGTTCATCTACCTTGAGAATTAACGCCAACTTTCACCATAGAAAGTTTGTCACTACTAAAATTATTTTATTAGTCAAGCAATAATAGCTTACCGTTAGGTTACCAATCTTTAAGTTTTCTTGTTTGAAGATACAATACGACTAAAATGAATAAGTGAGAAGTTAGAGCGATGCGATCTAAATCCATCCACAGCCACACTGTTCTAAATCTTAAATATCCTGACAAGTGTATCATTCATTCAGATCTATTTTCCTGTTGAATTCATCTTCCCACTGGTAATTCATCTTTATTATGTGTCACTGTAATTCATAGCAAGTTTTCGTGGCATAAGATTATACTAGTTTTTGATAATGAGTAACAATCAATTCATTCATGTATTATGTCTGTGTAAGAGTTGAAAGATATCTAAATTGTGCTGTCTCGAGAAACAGAATTACCTTTAATGCAACACACTCTCTTAAACATTTCCTTTGAATTTCTCAATATACATCAAATAATATTTAATTCAATTTTAGATTTTCTCGTCGACTGATTGGACTGAAGTGCTCGGTCTCAGGTTGACACGTCAGCTTCTTGTGCAGATGCTTCGACGATGTCTAGGCGTGTAATTAGAAGTTAATTGGTGGATGGTGACTAGCAGTGGAATCCAGGATGCGCATTTCGTCCGATTTGGGACTCGTCATCTGGATGCACCTGCATTCAGTTAAATAATTAATATGACCCGTTGCACAAGAGGTGGCTCTCATGGCCCAAGTGGTCAAGTGGATAACGCTTTGGCGTTTGAAACTATGGGTACTGGGTTTGAGCGTCGGTGGGAACATCATCACTCACTACGGAATGCAGGTACATCCAGATGACGAGTCCCAAATAGGACGAAATGCACATCCTGGATTCCACTGCTAGTCACCATCCACCAATTAACATCAAATAATATCCACTCAAACCAAATCAAATACTGACCAAAATTTAATGAATAGTAGAACTGATAAATACCAAAATATGAATGTGTAAAAATAAGACAATTTACCTTTGAAGTGCAGTGTGCTGATTAACGCGAGAAGGGTTTGTCTGGAAAGTGGTTGTTTTAGAAATTCAGGTATAAGTTTATGTGTTTTATTGCAGACCCAGTCATTGATATTTTTGACAGCCTGTTTTGGTTTGGTGAAATCCACCTAACCATACAATGAAAACATGTGCTTTAGTGTTAATCACTCATATTAACTTCAGCTGAATATAAAAGAATTTGTTAAGAGTGTGAGTTGTATTCACTGGTGGAGTCTGGTGATTTCCAGTCTACCAGAACTCACACACACTTGAACCTTTAACTGATTCACATTAGATTTGATGGAGGATTTCATCATGAGCTGACATCAGTTAGAGAACCACTGGAAAACCTGGGAGTAATGGACAGTCTTGTCACCAGAAGGTCCTGGGTTCGAACCCCGGTGGTGGCTGCATACTGATGAAGAGTCCCAGCCTAGGACGAAACAGCTGTCCAGTACTCCCCGGTGGGTTTTCCAGTAATTCTCTATCTGATGTCAGCTCGTGATGAAATCCTCCATCCAATCAAACAAAATCCTTACAAAACCAATACTTGATTCATATTAGTTTGAAATACATGCAAAATTCTTTATTCTGAATTCTTTTGTTTATTCTATAATGGGTGTGGTAATTGTTTTATGAAACAATACAAGATAATCATTCAAACACTGAAATTATTCGACAGATCCACCGACAGGGAAAGATTAGTATCCTCCAAAAAGAAAGTAATTGTAGTAGATTCGGTTGCACTGCTTATAGCGAATGAATGGAAAATATTAAGAGTTACTGTCAGAGTTTCATCGATTGTTATTTCTCACTCTATAAAATACACCAATCACTAACACCGTACAAAATGCCTATTCATACAGTTTCATACTGATCTAATCTATTACTTTTAGAATTATTCATTTACCGAAATAGATAAAAGTTACGTACATTAACAACATCACTAAAGAATTCACTTTTCAATCTTGTCATGAAGCTTTTCTTAATTGGAGCTTCTTTTCTGACGAATATTCCATTTCCTATAGAGATAATATTCTCTCCATCAGCCTTTTCTTTTGTCAAGTTTTCATATAATAATGTGAACATCTTTTTGCCAATTTTCTCTTCATCCCTACCATCGTAAATTTCCAAGGCTTCAGCTAATTGCACTTTTGTATTGCCTTTCGTTGCGCCTGAACCAAGAAGTGTGGCGAGTAGTAGCAGCAAACTTATTGGAGATGATAAATAATCACCGGGTTCTAAAGTATCAGATGGAATAGAAGTTTAAATTGGTCAATTTTTCAGTAATTCAATTGTGCTATCAATAAAAAAGCTTTACACAAAACTCACAACCCAGTAATGGCTCAGTTATCTTCTTTAACAATCATTGTACGATATTCAATGAATCCATCTCGCATTATACAGAAAAAACAGACAACTATCCGTTTTGTAACAGATAACTTAGATTCTAGAATAAGTGAAACAGTAAGTGATTTTCTGAGGACCAGCATTAGTCATTAGAATGGTTTCTTTGTAATATTATTATCATAGAGGTATGATCAAATTACACTTACTTACGAGTAACATCTGAATTAGAAAGATGAAAAGATTTCACATGTAATCACGGACAGAAGAGATGAAATGCAGTTATACTGAATTTCAACCTTCTAAGTTCCCGATATTTTAATCTGAAAGCATATTAACTACGCTATTTTCCTGATATCAAACTAGCTATCCTGTTGAAAATGTTTAATGTAAAAGCACTCTACTGACTAATAATTATCCCCAATGAATTCGACACTACCTAAATGAACTCATTAGGGTAATCGAACATCAAATCTCTCTTCAAAGTTCTTTTCTACTTGAATGTTCCTCTTCAGCGATAGGTAATGCAAAGAAAAGAGTAACTTTCATAATCTGCACACGGAAGACTTTCTAGATAACAAATGACGCAAATATCTTAATCATATTAGACAAGCAAACAAGATTCATTAAAGAAGATGACTATTCAAACTTCTAATATTCTAAACATACTTGTTATATATTTATGATTATGTCAAATATGGACAATTTTTCAATGGTCGTTATTGAATTATATATATTTATATATATATATATATATATATATTCGATGGTTGAGTGATAGAACATTGGCCAACTACATAAGTAGTCCGGGGTTCGCGTCCCGGCCGGTGCCCTTCCTAAACTTCACCTGACCGGTAGTAATCCCGGTAAAGAGGGGATGCTGGGCATGAGACTAGCGACCCCATCCTGTAAAGAAACATCACTGCTGCTGAAACTTTAAAGCTCTAGCTTGAAACCCCTTGTTCCACTAGAGACGCGAAGGAATAAAATAAATAATAAATAAAATTTCCGCCTTTTTCTAACTTTGTCATGAATGTAATACATTTGTTAAAATCTTAATTTACAGATTTTCGCATACAGAGATAACCATAGTGATATCTGAACATTTTCTGTCATTGTTCATTGCATATGTACTTGAACAAACTCTAAGTTCGAATCATAAATAACACACACACACACCTCAGGGACTTCAACTCAGGATCCACGAACAGTGATAACCGAGTGACTCAGTGAGTACAAATGGGTTTCCCTTGAAACTTTAACAACACATGGAAAATATAACAACTTGTAAAATCGAGAATGTGACTTTGTGCTTTCTCTATCTGAAAATCATTGAGTCTACACATAGTTTTCAGTGATTAAATCAAGTTTTAGTTTAGGTGTCAAATAGAAATTATCTATTTTTGAGACAAGAAAACAGGTATCACTCCAAAATACAGTAATGCAATAATTAGGCATATTTGTTTAATAAACTAAATACATGGCTTAACTGTTTGGTTGAATGCAAGTAACTAATCCTTCAGGATTGATGAAGTAGTCAAACGTTATGAGTCGCAGAATGATGTTCATGTCCCCGTTGGCACAACGTTTGTCACAGCCATCCTTCGGCAATAATGACGTGCGAATGAGGTTCAATGGGAATGTCAAGAATTACATCGAGAAAATAATGCTCTCTTAGTTCACACAGTCACGACTACTCTTCAATACATTCTATATTTCATAAATATTTTGTTTAATACTTTGTAATGCAACTTATCTGTTTGTTGTTTTATAGTGTGTATACATTAGTCAACAGCACTCAGCATCAAAAATAAGATCCGGATTTTCAACTCCAATGTGAAGTCAGTGCTACTTAACAAACGGATCAGAGACTTGGCGCGTCATAAAAAGCATCTCAAACAAACTACAGACCTTCACTAACAGTTGTCTTCGCTCAATACGCAAGATCAGATGGCCAGAAAAGATCAGCAATAGTGAGGGATATCTGGGAGTGAACCAACCAGGAACCGATTGTGCGGCAAATATGCAGGGAGAAATGGAGATGGATTGGCTGGCCATACTCTGAGGAAACAGTGCATCAAGTGACATCACTAGACAAGCCATTGCTCGAGTGGAACCCGAACGGGAAACGACGAGTTGGTCTTCAGTGCAAGAGTGACTTGGAGGAGTTCATGTAAAGAGGAGATGAAAGTGTGTGGGCAGACTTGGAGCCAGGTGGAAACTCTATCAGAGAACCGAACGCAATGGAGACGCACGGCTGAAGCCCTATATTCCTCTAGGAATTAAAGGAAACAACAGTAATAAATAATACATCAGTATATCCAGATTTTTCATTTTTAACTGCCAAATTCAAGATCTACAAAGTATATCCTGTGGCGTTATCATCATCAACCCAAAAGCTCAAAGCTGTTTTGTGAAAGACATTGATGTCCGACTTTTCAACATAGAACCATTGACACAAGCAACTACTTTTTGTTCCTTGGAGTGATTACAACCAAAATTTATTCATCCCCTTATTTCAGCTCTGATTTTTGTGTACAGTTAAACAATTCGAGTCACAGAAAGATCCAGTCAGCGACTTTTCTAATGCTTCTCTAGCTTAACAAGACGATACAGTTGTTAACTATCTGTCTAATTCAGTCGCTGAAGATCTCTTAAATGTATGACATCAATAACTTTGTATTGAGAAGAAAAGAATAAAAGTGTGGAGGATGAATTAAGTTAGATTATTATTAAAGTGATGAAAATGTAAAAGTGAGTAATATATCTTGATTAGAATAACAAAACCCAACGAAGACGACCATTAAAAAATCAAAGGACTGATTAGTGAATGAATAATATTCTCTCCGATAAATTCTGCACACGTTCTACATTCATATGACGGTTATAATTTTAAAAAATACTGTAACTAACACCATCAATGTTTTGAGTTATATATATGTCCAAACCAAGTTCACTTTTAACAGTTTGAAAAAATTTGTGGGCATTGGGTATATGACATCCATTATTGTAAAAAATCTTTGTATTTCTCAATGAATGAAAAACAAAACGATATTGTTCTTACTGACGTTCCACTATTTAATGCTAACAGCTTTATCAAAATATTATTCTAAGCATTAGACACACTAAAAAGCAGCCTTGTCCATGTAAAAGACCGAATTCCAAAGTATTCTCAATCCAATTGTGTCTGCAAAATAAATTACTTGGAATAAGATGCGATATACATCAGACAAACATCGTGAGAAATCAAACTCAGAAGAGATGAACACTGTAGAGCATCTGTTCGACCACCGAGAAATCCATTTGAACAAGAAAAGCTTGAAAAATCCTACACGCTATACATTCAGGTCACAAAATTTATTATAACAATACTGAAATAATCCAGAAAGATTTCAGAAACCACAAAGAACGTCTAATGCCAGAAACACTTCATTTCAAATGTAATCCAAATTGTCTGAATAGGAACTGTTTACCAGAACACTGAATAGGTATGATGGATTAAAACAGAACTTGACCTGGTTGCAACATCCCCCCCCCCGCTCCCCCATGAAATGACGAAATCAACACGAATGTGATAAGCGATTTCATTATGCAACCACAATCTGCTTTTATAATTTTATACGCTTATCAAATCCAACAGTCTACACTTGGTTTTATTATCTTTACCAAATGGCCAACTTGACAACGTAAAAATTACCCCATGCTGATGAACAATGATTAAGTTGTTATACACAAGCTGAGATTTTGTAAATTCTAGTTTTTTGATACTTTGACAAAGCCATTAGCATTAAATAGCGAAACGTCAGTAAAAACCATATCGTTTTGTTTTTCATCCACTGGGAATTACAAAAACTTTTATAATAATGAATATCAATGTTTTAAATTACATTAAGTCAATAGTTTCCACAGATTAGTTTTCAAAAGCATCAGTAAACGATAGTATGCATTAATATAACATTAGGGGAAGTAACACAGAATTTGTGAATTTACTGGCTCAACTGAAGGCCAGGATAGCAATAGTAATCGGACCTGCTTCTCTTGCATATACAGCTCCGGCTGATTTGAGTGAATTGCAATAGCCTATGATGCTTGGAGTGTTCGGGATCTAGAGACCTTGGTAATTTCTTCAATACCCTGTAGATGATAGTGAAAGATTCTTCAATACTGGCTTTGTTGCGTTTATGGAAAAGGTAGTCCTAAACTGTTATAACCTTTCCACAAAATTCCCTTACCTTTTGAGTTCTAAACTAGGCAGGAAATCTACCATCATACTCTTGCTAATTAGCCTACTTCGTGATTACCAACTGCTGTACTTGGTAATTTAATGAGTATAATTATAGACCAAAGTTAAGGCTTTGCGTATTCATATCCTAGGAGTTTGTAGATCCCTAATACATGATCTAAGATTATATGTGTTGGGTTAATCACAAACATTGTACCTGACTAAATGGGATTCAAGGTAGCCACATATCATTATTCTTTCCTTATATTAGCTGACTAAGATATTGTCTTTATTAGGTGCCCATATGAACAGTGAAAGAATTACTAAAACTTTAATTTCGATGGAGAAAGAAAGACCAGATTTGCAGTATAAAATCATATCATCATTCTATTTCAAAGGTTCTCATCAGCTGCAAACTATCTGAAATTTCAATGGTTATAAATAATAACATTTCATACTTCAATGTTTGAAAGGTAATAGCGAAGACATTATAAGATGGACGTATCTGGAATATAAGTATTACAATTTGTAGTTCAAGTCACCGACAATTGATATGCTTTCAAACTATGAAAAGAAACGTGGGTGAAAGAAGACAGGAAACAGAAAAATCTAATAAACAGTGTTAGCTTGTACGTCAACATGGCAACTCAAGAAGGTTACTGTTCATCAAACTGAAAACTTGCTTAGTGAGCTAAGCTCACTAGTGTGTATGACTAATCAGTGTAATCAAAGTAATACGGTTACCAAGAGAGTCAGAGATTGACTGCACTCTCTTTCAGTGTGTATAAGTTTGGTCTGAAACGTCTGATTGCAATTGCTACAGCAAGTAGCAGTAGATCTTCTGTCCTTTGTATGTTTAACATTTTGAAGCATTTGGAATAAACTGATGGTAACTTAAACTAAAAATTGTAATACTTATATTCCAGATACGTTTATCTTATAATGTTTTCGCTATTACCTTTCAAACACTGAAGTATGAAATGTTATTATTTATAACCAT